TTCACTTTTTTCTACACTATTTTTTCCTATTTATTTCCTATTTTCACGTCTGAAAAATAGGAAAAAAAAAAGGAAAAAAATAGAAAAAATTGTTTCAAACCTATTTTTTTCCTATTTCCAAAACTATTTTTTCCCTATTTTTTCCTTTTAAAAAAATAGGGAAAAAATAGAAAAAAAATATATTTTCGGGACTATTTTTTCCCTGTTTTTCCCCTATTTTTTTCCTATTTTTTTAAGACTGGGGGAATCATCACCAAACTGCGCCTGTGGAGAGATCCAAACTATGGATCATGTCATTGATGATTGTCCGATCTACAAATCCCCCCACGGCGCTTCCGGACTTCGTGAGCTCGATGCCCGGTGGGGTCACTCAATGTGACTTCCGGACCGCATGACCGTTACCAAAATCGCGGAAAAAGGGGTCAATTTCAAGCAATGTCCGCGGACAAAATATTCCTCGAAATAAAGAAAATAGGGGTGCACAGGTGTCCTCGAAATTGATAAATAGGGGTCAGGAAAAGGGAAAAGAGAAAACCGGGAAGGGAAAAGAGAAAACCAGGGAGAAAAAGTCTCGGAGCCGAGTCTTGTCCTTGAAATATGGTAAAATAGGGGTAAATTTGCGAAAGTGTCCTTACAATCTTATAAATAGGGGTATTCCAAAGTACGATTTTGTCCTTGTTTTGACGTAAAAAAGGGGGTTAAATTTCACAAAATGTCCTTGAAATTGACCGCAAAAGGGGGTTATATGCATTTGTGGTAACGGTCATGCGGTCAGGAAGTCACATTGAGTGACCCCACCGGGGCTCGATGATGAGACGATCTGTTGGCTCAATAAGGATCTTCCTATCTAGATGATGTACTCCCTGATATTCTTTGCACGAATGAACGTACGACGTTTACTTAATGTGCATGCGGGATAGGGTTTTTATATTAATATACAGGTACTAGCAGGACCCGCGGAAATCCGCGGGATTCTAGAGGGGGGCGGGGGTGTAAATAGATATATAGAGACTGTCTAAATTAAAACCACCAAGAACTTTATTTGCCATTCAGGCCATTACAAAATAAACATGTTTAGCGTCCCCGCCCGCTTCCTTTTTGGGGGCCGCCTCCAATTTTTTTTTTTTGAAATTTTTTGAATTTTTTTTTTTTTTTTTTTAGGGGCCGCCTCCTATTTTTTTTTTTTTGATTTTTTTTTTTTTTTGGAAAGAAAAAAAACATGAAAAGCACTGCTAAAATGTACATGTATTTCTGATTAAAAAAAAAAAAAAAAAAAAATCTTGGCCGCTGTCTTGAAAAATAGCCTGAATGTCAGGGAAAATGTACGGAGCGGCCATTTTGAAAGAAAAAAAAAAAAAAAAGGGCCTCCTCCCATTTTTCTAAAAAACAGGACGCTATAAGCATGTTTTTTTTTTAATTTGGCCTTATATTAAATTAAAAAAACAATCCAACTGTACCGGTAGTTATTCTTTAAGCCACTGGAACTGCGTAGAGTTCTGTAGAGTGGCGTACCGGCTACGCAGAAATTAGGCTGCGTATTAATGGGAAAAAAGTCCCTGCGTAGGTTATGCGTAGGCTGGCGTACGGGTTTGCTTATGGTTGCTTACTGTGTTGAAAGCTTTTACTGCTTTGTCAATCTGGCGTAGGGTAGCGTACTGTTGCGTAGGCATGTAGCGTAGTGTTGCGTAAAAAGACGTACTTTCTGCGTCAAGTTTCTATGCCTAAAGTACGCGAAAAAAATTAAACATGTTGGAATTGTTTTCGTTCATCTTGCGTACCCCTTTCCGTCCCTCAGCATATAGTAACGTAGGCCAGCGTAGGTGGTACGCAACACTACGCAACTCTAGGTATTGACCCACGCCAATTAGTGACCTGCAGGTGTCACAAATAAAGTATTAAAAAAATGTCATCTGACCCTAATTAAACGCCTAAAACCCCCAAGCTTTCGGGGGTTTATGGCCCCTTGAAACCCGTGGACCCCACGCCTATATTATATATACACTCAACTCAGGACCCGCGGAAATCCGCGGAATTCTAGAGGGGGGCGCAGGCAAAAAATTAAGTTTTTCATTTCGGGGGCTACTTTTTCAACTTTCGGGGGCTCTTTTTTCCGGGGCTACTTTTTCATTAATTCATAAAAGGATAGGCCTACACTTTGTTGAGATTTGTTTAGTAGGCTAAGGTTTGAGGCTTCCTACATCCTACTTAATAATAAAAAAAACATTTTTCTAGTTCAATAACTAAGTTTTCATGCATTGATTTGATGCAAGAACTGTAACATAATAATAGACCCTAGATTGTGATTATTTCTGACCATGAATTTCGATAATCATTTTTCAAAGTAAAATTTTCATAAGAAAATCCGACAGTCGTTTAAAAACGTAGACATTAGTAAGTCTACTTTTACTAATTCTAAGCTCAGGTTTCGTAAATCTATTCACGAAACTATATTGAAATCGCGGCAATAATGATGCAAACCAACAGATAACAATTTCAAAGTGTCAAATCTCTTCGACTCGAGCTCAGCTGAGCTGAACTCACACACACTTCAGCGTAACTCCAGCAAGCTCGAACACCGGCGCCGCAGGCGTCGGACGCCTGCGGTGCCCGGTGCCGGTGTTGGAGCTTCCCGAGCAGCGCATGGTTGAATGAAAGCAGCTTACGACTGAAATGTCAGTCCATTGGTTTTCTTGTGAACACTTTCCTTTAGAAAATGATAATCAAAATTGAGTATACATGGCCGTAATAATCACAAAATAAGCTTTGATTTCATACCTCCATTCACGAAAACTATATCAAAATCGCGGCAATCATGATGGAAATAGGTCTCTAAGTTTGGACGTCGACGGGTAGCCCCGTTCATCTCTTGTGCAGCTACTACATGCAAAGCACGTCCTAGCTACAACAAAGCACATCCTATATCTATAGAAAGATACCTAACACGGGGTAAGTCATACCCATTCAGCGTGCATTTAATACGCAACTTAATGTGAGTGGATAGTCATCGGTCGTGTGTCTACGGATGTTATGTTGAATATCCATGAGGTATCTCTGTCGTCACGCATATCATGCATTATGCATGTCGCGTCTGTTTTCGCCCTGGACGTCGACACGGAGGAGGACCTCGGGCGGAGTATAGCCAATTCGCTAGAGTAGACTCTCCCGCGGACGACGGCACCGGGCACGGGTACCCCGAGGGGAGGGTTCAGGAGGAGATAGCTGCACCAACTTGGGTCGGCGATCTCATTAAAAAACAATAGAATACAAAGGCCGGCGGAGACGTCGCGCCCCCCGCGGAGCCTTAGTGATATCTTTACCTGGGTGGAGAGTGGCAAATGTGAATAAAGGACTTGGGGGAGGGGGGGGGATACAAAAAAAATCTGAAGAGCAGGCACACAAAATAAAGGAAAGAACACTCGAGTTACCCCATTCTCTTCAAAATTTTGAAGGGGGACATTTGTGGGTGGTTGTGTACTTAAGGTATTCCACTTTGACTTAACAACCCCCCTCTCTCTCCTCTCTTTTTAACCCCCTGTTTCCTTTGTTTTCCCTTTTCTTTTCCTTTCTTTCCTCTCCTTCCTTTTTTTCTTTTTCCCAACGGCAGCGCAATTTTACCGACAATATCCTGACGGGGGGGTGCTGTCGCACCCCCACACCACTTCTTTAGCGACGCCCCTGTTGGGAGTCCAGATTCCTAATATCAAACGGGCATTAGACAAAAATGGGGCTGGAGGTAGAAAAAAAAGTAATGTTAACGTGCTGATGCTTCAGAACTGGGCAGAGATAATCAAACCATCCAAGCAACTTCCAATTCTTAGAGCTGCTTTCAAAAAGGCGGGCTTACTAGAGCTGGAAGAAACATGTTTCACAAGCAGCTGCAGTGACTTTTGCTGATGTTGTTGCTGTTGCAATTTAACTATGTCATGCAAAACGACACGGTATAGAAACAGTCCGTTGCCATATAATATCTAGTCAGATTGTTAAACGCTCACAGTACTGAATAATTACCAGTTTCACCTTCGACGATCGCATTGTTCTCCACTACTTTCACTCTCTCAATACCCCTTCTTTCTCCTCTCTGTCATTGTTGTGCTGGGGAGCAGGGAGACCCTCTTCATGGCTTTCTTGTTCTCTAGCTCTCTGTCTTGTTACTCTCACTCCTTGTCTCCCCCCCCCCCCCCCCCCCCCCTCTCTCTCTATTTCTCTGATATAACTTCCTAAATAAAAGGGTGACATGTGAATACATGTTTGAATAATGTCACTATAGAATTTTACTTTTTTAAAACTAAATCAGACTTAATTGTACAAAATCCTGTTTGACTTTTTAACATTTCCCAAGATGATGCGCATTATATCGAATATTACAATGGCAACCTTTTACCCATGTTTTTATGCGAAACTTATCTTATTTGTATGCAATATTCTACATGTATCTTTTACTAAATTGGCCCAAATACAAAATGTTCTGCATTTTACCTACAATGTATAATTGGTATTAATCATTGTAGCATCTATTTGATTTTATAATTCCTGGATTTGGTTTCTGTTGTTGTCTCTGTCTCTGTTTCTGTTATTGAAGAAAACACCATAACCATACCGTACCCATCTGTCTATGCATTTTCCAACTAAAACATTTAATTCTTTCGAATATCAAAAATGTATTACTATTCATATATTGTATAAGTTCAATATATAATTTTATTGCAAATATGGTAATACAATTCAGATTTCTGTATATGTACCAAGCAATTTGCCAAGGTCGTTGAAGCACAATTATATATCATATGTACAAAATAATTCCAATTTAACTACCATAATGCTACCATTGCATAATGTTTTACGTGTAATTTTACTTTGTCACTGATGTATACTTTGTAAAAGAAACTGCAATTCGGCTCTCGGGCCGCGAATGTTTTTTAATGAAATAAACCATTTAAAATAAATAAAATACATTTAATCAACACAGCTTTCTTTCCTACCTATACATATTCTAAATACAGAATGAGCTCAGTGGCCAATGTTGATTTTGACGACATCTTGAAGGAGATAGCCAAGGCCCTACACAGAGATTCAGACATCGATGATCTCGGAAAAGCCTTGGGATTTGGGCCCGGAGAAATCGGTCGCAAGACTGCACAAAACGAAAAGCAAGGAGGGAACTATATGGGAACATTGGATTTGCTCAGGATGTGGCGAAATGGACAAACACCTACGACTGAAAAGGCGGCATTGAGGTCGGCACTAGTAAACGCTCGATTTGATAACCTGGCAGACCAATATCTAAGCACTCCCGTACCCGGTAAGAGATGCTTTGTATACAATGGTTCAACGATGCATTTCATTCAGAAAAAAAGAGAATCCAAATTACAATAAAAAATAACATTTGTTCACTACTCAAAAGTTTCAAAGCAGATCATGGACATGATAGTGGGGCGGCATAATGTCAAATTTAAGCCCAATTGTGCATATTGTGATAAATTCACCAACTTTGTCACACAGGTAGTCCAACATTTTTTAAGCAAAACTCGAATTTGGACCTTGGGGGCCCGCTGTGCATATTTTTCAAAATGACTCGTTCAGGTTACCTTTTCCGTGTATGCCTTGTCCAAGATTAAAATATTTCAGCAAATCTGAGTTAGTGACATTTCTTGTATGTCAAAAATCATTATTTTCAATTACCAACCAAGAACGTCATGATAATTTGAATAAATCATATTTACTCAGAATAATGATTCTTTGTTTGTACTGAATGAAAAGTAAACGAGTGTAGTGTTGTCAGGGCTGGTAGTAGTTTTTAAAAAAATCAACAACACAAAAATATCAAATTTTCGTTACGATTCACAATATTAAACGCTGTTAGAAGATTCAGGTCAAGGTTCAAATGAATCTTGTTTGTGAAGCAAAGATACAAGAGAATTATAACATCAAGTACATGATAATAAGATATTCAAACCTTTAATTTCCACAATAATAGAAATTGTTTAGGAAATCTATGAAGTACTCATTACAAGTCATTTCCTTTTACCGGTAATTTTTTGTTTACATCAGCAGAATCTGCACAATACACTGTACAACAAACAGAGGACTGTTCCAAAAATAAAGATGAGAAATCTATCTTGTTTCATATGAATATTAAAAGAGGGAAAATATTTTCTCTTTGTATTTGAGTATCTATTGTAAGCTCGATCCGTTCTCACAGAGCTGCCAACTAGTACGGATTTTCCGTAATTGGTACGGAAATTAACGACCATTACGGAATGTTGTCTCAAATTACGGATTTTAAAAAAAAAAAAAAAAAAAAAGATTTTTTTTTTTTTTTTTTTTTTTTTTTTTTTTTAAATGAATTAAATATGATTTATCGTAGCGAGTGCTGTGAATAGGAGCCATTTTTCATGATAAACTGTGTTGTGATGACCTGAAATTCAATACTTAACATCTTTGTTTGAGTAAAATCACCAAAAATTTCAGATAATCATGCGTCCGCGCAGTGTTGGCGTGTCGTTTTTTTAGATTCATAGCGCCGCATAAGAAATTACTGATTTATACCCCAAATTACTGATTTTGAGCCTTGTGATTACTGATTTTCTGTTCTGGAGGTTGGCAGCTCTGTTCTCAGGGCAGTCCAGAGCGGAGCCCTGCGTTTGATTGCACATGCAATTATTCAAAAAGGTACTGGCTTAAAAAAATCAACCTGTCTATCATTGAGTTAACATAGACAAATTCTGTGAGGTAATATTGACGAAAATATCTTTGATCCAATCTAGCTTTATTTATTAAAGATAGGGAATGCGCAATTTATGGACGAGGCACTTCCGGAATTATTGTCAATGTTTTCCAGAACAATATTCATCTTCAAATACATTTTTGCAGAAGTGTGTGTTTTATGACATCCTCTTTCACATCATTATAGAATTGGCGTGAAATTTTGCCATCAAGATTATGTGTTCAAATTTTTGGAATTTTTGGCTCCCAACGCTTTAAATCTCTCATTATTGTTAAAAATCATCAATTGATAACACATATTACGTATAATGTAATGGACAATGCTCATATTTTAGCTTGGGAACAGTTTCTGACTTCGACACCTGTATTTGCTTAAATACATGTACAGTGCGTCCCAGAAAAAACAAAACCAAGAATCATCGATGTTTTATCATAACTTAATCACAATTATAATTAATGAATGACACATATTTGGAAAGCTTAGATACTCCTCTTTCATTTTTACTGGCTTTTTGCCGTTGCAACGAATAGAATTGAAAAAAGACTTAACTCCGTTTCGTTGACGATCAGCCATGCACAAAGAAGACGAAAGACCTGATGCCTGGCTGATCTTCAACGAAATGGAGTTAAGTCTTTTGTCAACTCTGTTTGTTGCTAGCCAGTGAAAACGAACTCGTTTGATCAAATTATGGAAATGCAAGCATTTTTTTAAACAAACAGAACTTTGTTATTCCTAGCTCATTTTTCCTGATTGAGGTGTCATATGAAAGGGCAGGAATTGAACTTTTTAGAAATGTGATTTTCTCCTTGAAATTCAGATACTGCTCGCCAAATGACTTTTTGGTTTCCTCTCTTTAAATTGCTGTCAATCACTCATGCGTGAAATATGCATCATATGAGTTGCATCAAATGAAAGAAGAGTATCTGAGCTTTCCAAATATGTGTCATTTATTAATTATAATTGTGATTAAGTTATGATAAAACATCGATAGTTCTCGGTTTCGTTTTTTCTGGGACGCACTGTATAATTGCCTTTACAGCGTGGTTGAGCAGGATACCTTTCATGATTTGACATTTTTGAAATGTTTGTTTGGGGATTCAACAGATTTTCCCCATTTAATGCGTTTCTCGGTTGTTTTTTTCTCTGAAGTCGCTTTTGTAAAGTTGTCAATTATTCAGCCACCTTCCCCATAATAACAATTAATTGAAACTAAAATTTGGGAATATATTAAATTGTGAGATGTACTCTTTTCAAACTCACTTTTCAAACTCACTTTTCAAACTCATTTGTTTAAAGTATTAAAGTTTTTAGTAACTTCCTACTGTCCTACTTTCACACTGCACGGTGAAACAAATAACACACCATTATTGATAATTTATCTCATAAGGGTAGGGAAAGAGTCTCTTTACAAAGAGAGTATTGCCATAATGTGAGTAAGAGCTTTCAGAAACAATTTGCCGTTCAATTTTCCCTAGAAACTGTTATTTCTGGTTTTCAGTCAATAACTGGTCAAAATGTCCATACACATGGCGTCTTGACAACCATTCTCTCACTCACACTGCCCTTGCTTTTCTTTTCCTACCCCTCTGAAATTGTGCTTTTAAAAGTGGCATATCCAGCTAGAATTGATAAGCCCACCCGAGAGAATCCCACCCGACTGAAAAACAGCTAGAACCTTGGCTGCCAAAGACAGCCCTGCATACCCACTGCAAATTTGATTTCATTAATTTCAAGGGGAGGGTGTTCAAACGCGCGGATCTGTGTCCATACGCCGGGTCTATCCTTTGCCCATACTTAATCAGCAGAACCTGTTTAAACAAAAACAGCAATACATTATCAACTTCCTTGGCAGTGATTTCAAACCAGGAATCTAATTTTCTTACATCATTATCTTGCAATAATGCTCTTCTCTTTTTTCTCAGGTGACGATGAGGCGATGCCTAGTGAAATGATGAAGTTAAGAGAACAACTGAAAAGAAGATATCGCAAGAAATTTGGTCAGATCAAAACATCGCCTGTGGACTCTCAGTCACGGACATTGCTTCAGCACATCTACGTCAGTCTCGTCCTAATGTTGGGATTGGAAGGGGAAAAGGAGGAGCCAATAGATTATGATGGGTTGTTTAAATTCATAAAAACTGACACACCGACAGGTTTTGTAACACGATTAGCTTTCATTGGAGAAGCTGGTGTAGGGAAATCAACGCTGTTTGCTAAGATAGCTCTTGATTGGGCTGAGGGTAAAATTCTTCAAGAAATCAATCTGCTTTTTCTTGAATCATTTCGAGAGATTAAAGAGAGCGAATTCTTCGGGGATACCGTCATGGCGCATTTCCCAGATGACTTAGAAATAGAAGGAGAACAGGTGGATGCATATGTGAGGAAAAATCCAAGAAAAGTCCTAATCTTATTGGATGGACTAGACGAGGGACATATTGACATCAAAAAGCCAGACAGCAATGACGCTATCGTATCGATCGTAAGAGGAGAACGATTCATTGATACCCCAGTTGTCATCACAACCCGTCCTTTTGGAGCTGATCAGATCAAGAGCACCATGACGATTAACGACCACTACACGTTTGGTAAGGTTAAGGGCTTCACAAAGGAAAACATGGCAACATATATTGAAAACTTTTTCAAAGATGATTCTCAGTCTGCTTCGACCCATATTAACTTCATTGATACAAACCAAGTGGTTTCTGAGTACATGGCACCCTTCCCGATATTCTGCTGTATGATATGTTGCCTGTGGAAAACGCCATCTGGGCGGGAAAATATTCAGACAATGGAAACATTCTCGCAACTCTTGAAGCGTCTTGTCTTTTCACTTCAAGAGCAATACTCTTCCAAACGAAATGAATTAGAAGAGAGCTATGGAAGCCGCATGAACAAAGCTGATGAAAGTATGAAAGAGCTTGGTTGTATCGCATTTCAAGGTCTGTTGGTTAAACAGCTCATCTTCGATGAAAAGGCGCTCGACTCATGCATAGAGGCTGCAAGGACTGCATGCGAGGTCGGGATTCTTAGCATGGAAAAAAGGCCAGCACCCTTGCAAATCAGAGAAAGTCAGCGAAAGCAATTCATCCAGGAATTCTCTTTTCCTCATAAGTTACTGCAGGAGTACATAGCAAGTTTTTACCTTGCATCGCTGTTCCACAAAGATCGTCAAGAATTCAACACAATCCTGGCAAACACTCTCATAAAAAACTACAAGGAATTCAGATATGTCTTGTACTTCACTGCAGCTAATGGAGGTGAAGTAGGAAAGTTGGTCCTGGAAACTCTATGCAATGAAGAAGGAAAGTCGATCCTGAGAACTCTATTAGAGAAAGTTCCTGACATGAAATTCATCATTCAGGTTGCTTTTGAATGTCATGATTCAGAAGCCATTGATCCCGTCACGATTCTTTTGAAGACGAAGGCACGTCTGAGGTTAGATTTTCCAATCGCTGCACATGTCTTCACACTAGAGTCAATAGGGAAAGAAGTAGTAAGTTCCGTGAATAGAATTATAGACATATCTCATTTTCGTTTATGTAGTTGTGAAATGTTATCATGTTGAGGGAATACTGTCATCTGTTGAGCCTCCAGTGATTATATGCAAATTTCGCAAACAAAAGGTATTCATGTAGTAAAACTGATTTACTCAGTTAAAAGTTATGCAAAGTTTCGGGAAATTCGGCAAATTCGGCAAATTTTGGATATTGAATACAAGAGACCTACACAATGCATTGTCTGTTTTTCTGTTCTACTGACCGACAATCATTTAGAACCTGCCATGTTCTCCTGTTGTTATTGGGTATTATAGCAGGCTGCAAGGTGTAATTATAGTCACACACAAGAGCGAGAGTCATATCATTCGTTTGCCTCTTCCTCATATGATTGTAAAATGTGACTTTCTTTTTTTTCAAAGGAAGAAAAACAATATTACATGGCAATTTTTTTAGAGCAATGAAACACACATACAGACACACACCCACACTCACATCCTTCACTGGAAATAGGTCACCCAACCAGATGAACTAAAAATCTGATGTAGGTCATGTTATATTTTGAATATGCCTTTATAATCTTTATCGTTCGTTCATGTACTTCTTACATTCACATTATGATTATAAACTCAAATTTGTTTCAATTTATATTTTTCAAACATTTTATTCATTCTTTTCTTGGTCTTGGTATATTTATATCCTTGGTATTTACATCCACACCATCTGTCTGTGATGAAAATATATCTTTGTTCTATTTGTTGTACAGGTAAGAAGAAGTTCTTCGATTCGTGAAACATTGGGTAATAGCAAGTCCTTCGGAACTAACGCATCATCGTCACATGTAGCAGCAGTAGGTCTTTTCACATTGCCGAACTTAAGAAGCTTGGAGTTGGAGTTTAGAGGAGTGCGCCTGGATGATGGATTCTACAAAGGAATGTCTGCTGCAGCTTCTCAGTCCAAGGTATCAGGGGCCTGTTTATTGTATTACATTGATGAATCCTAAATCATAATTACTATTATTTCTTAATCGATGCATACTCATATTTGTTGCTTAATAAAATAAAATACAATCATGAACAAAATTTGGTTATTAAAACTTATAAATTTGTTCACTCTTTTTCACAAAGGCTGGAAATCTAAGCATCATGTCTTGCTCTCCTCTTTCTCTTCCTTTTCCTTTTTACATATCACAAATATGTATCTTCCTTTGTCATTTTTCTCTTAATTTGTCACAATTTGGCGGTGCTTTAGACATCGGTGGAAAATGTGACCCACAGTCAAAGTCGTTGCCACCCTCCAATCTATGAAGAAATAAATTTACTATATTTTTTCTTCTTCTTCCTCTTCTTCCACATATTTTGTATTTGTTTAGGTTAAAATTTGTTGCCGATTTTCCATTAGGAATATAACTTTATATTGGCTGTAATCCACGCACTATAGGACGTAGGATTAGATGGGAATAAAGATTCCCTTCACTATGAACATGACGGACAAAGAAAAAGGACAAAATATACAGCTCCTCAGGTAGATAAAGGAACATCCCTTCACTGCTATTATGTAAAAATGTGTAGAACAGGTGTCACATACATATTCACCTGTTTTACTCATTTTTACATAATAGCAGTGAAGGGATGTTCCTTTGTCTACCTGAGGAACTGTATATTTTGTCCTCTTTCTTTGTCCGTAATGTTCATAGTGCTTAACGCCTTCCCTTGCACCAGTGCGCCCCTACACTTCTAGTTGATGCACACACACGCTCATTAGCGTAATGAGCCAAACATTTTGAGAGAGCTGAGCCAGAAAGGGATCCGGTGTCGGCTATTCTATTTCACAGTATATCAACTCCATGGGTAAATTACATAGTACATGTATATTCTATTTTGAAAATTCTAGAAAATTTTACGCTTTGTACTTTTTTAACCATTTTCAACCACAGATATATCTTTCAGGGAAGGAGTCCTCTCTAATTATGCTATAACAATGGCTTACATTTCTTTTCTTTTTTAAAGTCAAATTATTATGCGAGAAAGTAAATCAACAGAAAGAGAAGATTTCCATTTTTCAATAGTGAAACTTTGCATTATAGACGACCTCAGAATCTGAATAGTATGTCACATTGTCTTGTAGAACTTTAACTCATTATTTATCATACAAATAATGATCCTATCTACATGTACAGCAGCGCCAAGCCCCCCCCCCCCCCCCCCACCAGTACGTCAGTGTCTACAAAAGACCCATCATTCGAGTAGAATTCCATATTAAGTATAGCCTCTTCGCACTAGCGTATGTAAAGAGGGCAAGGGGGGTAGTCCCCCCCCCCCCCCACCGGCAATTTCTAACAGAAAATTAATTGCTTTTTCATTTCACTTGGGAATTATTGAAGGTAGTCAAATTATTGGCAGAAACTTCTTGAATTGTGAACATCTTCTGTTGATGTAAAAGTCAAACTTTCAATATAAAGAGAAGGGGCAACTGGAATCACATCTCTTGTAATATATATATAGCCCAATAGATAAAGCTAGACGCTCTTATTCTTATGTTAGAGGGGAAAGTTGGTCTCTAATTATCATAAATAATTGAACATAAGAATCCATTTTTTACAGCTGTACTAGTGATTTTACAATATTGATAACTTTCAACAAGTAATATCGTATTGAAATCATATAACTGTAACTGTCGAATTAACAAGGGAGAGAGGATAAAACAGTATCGTCCGCCGTCCTACCCCACCCCAGGAGACGTAAATGAGGGTCTAAAAAGTGAATTTCACGTTTAAATTAATGGATCACCATTGGCTCAGATTTTTTGTCCCCCCCCCGTCCAAGATTTCTGACTTTGTTTCTGACGCATTTTAGGCTTTTCTTACATCATATCACGTAAAGTCTATATTAATTGGCAAATGGCAAACAGTACTGTTGTGCAACTTTCTTCTACAATATTAATGAATGAGACATTAACTTGAAAAGGAATTTAAATTTACTTTACTTACACTTTACCAGGTCATGCATATTGAGAAGGTAAAACATTATGACTAATATCTATATATATATATATAGCAGGGCATGTAATAAATACATAGAGACTCACATGAAAATAGCTTTATAAGACGGGGAATAATTTTCTTCAAATTTTTTGATCAGCAATTTCAGCCAATGGATAAATATTTCAAATGAAATTCTGTACATATGGCATATGACAATAAAACAATTATGTAATGATTATCAATTATCAATAAGTTCTCCTCATCTTTTAGTTATATTTCATCCTGTCGCACATTATTCTCTTCTGTTATTCTAGATTTAATTAATATTGTAATATTATTGAGTTGTTATACTTGGATGGAAGAACACACTTTTATCTATAAGTTCTTTTTGAAAAAGGTGAAAGAAAATTAAAAAAGCATGCAATAAGTAAAATTTGATTGAAGTAAAATAATGAGATCATATGATCCATTTTACCCTCCTTTCCCTGTACACATTGTCATTCTTCTACAAAATATTTGATTTACTAATTCTGTGTGTTTCTTTTAATTTTGCTAAAAGAAGCCCATCAAAGTCTTAGTATATATATACATCGATGACATACCATCATGTTAATTAAAGTACAGACCATAAGTAATACTTCAATTAAACATGCTGATATTACCATTCACTTTATTCAACCTGTCCTGTTACATCACCAGACTGAGAAGCTAACGCACTACCTCTCAGATCTACAGGCGTATTTAAAAGCACTTTATCCTATAAATAATTTATTGTCATTAGACAGAAGCATGCTCACTCCAATATGATAGTCTAACCATGCTGACAACAAGAAAAATGAATCATGTGAATAGACTGGACTTTATTGTGACAAAGTATTATTTATATAAATGTGTGGTTTAGAAAATTATTTATAGTTTGTCAATAGTCTCAAGGAGATAATACATGTACACCGTAGATATAAAGAAATAACATCTTTATTCTGCTTGAACAGACACTCTCTTTCTTTTCCAACTATTCATAATTAATCACATTTGACTTTCTTCATCTCGTGTTTCTTTTCTCTTACCAACCCCATTTCACTTTTGGCCTTTTTCTCTCTATCTCTCTCTATTTCTGTCCCTCCTCTCTCTCTCTCTCTCTCTCTCTTTCTCTTTCTCTCTCTCTCTCTTGCTTTAAAAGACTAAGTGGAGGGTATAATGATGTAACATTAATGACAATGAAAAATATTAAAATTAGACATGTCTATACTTGATTTAGCCCCTCCTCTCTCTCTATCTCTATTTCTCTGTCTCTTTTTCTCTCTCCCTTTCTCTTTCCCTTGCTTTAAAAGTCTAAGTAGAGGTTAATGATGTTACATTAATGACAATGACAAATATTTAATTTAGTCATGTTGTCTATTCTTGATATTACTATTCACTCTATTCAACCTGTCCTGTCACATCACCAGATTGAGAAGCTAGTGCACATGTTCGCAGATCTGGGTTCTGCTGCGTCCTCTCACTACACGAGAGGTCTCTGCTCCATGCCTCATCTTCGATCACTGGAGCTGGAGGGTATGGAGCTGAGTGATGAGTTCTACTCGACGATGGCCTCTGAGGCATCAAAATCAAAGGTATACCCAAACACGATTTGTATTGGAATCAATTTTTTTTCCCCAATAGTTTTGCAATCTTCAAACTAAACATATGTGAAAAAATGTTTTTCACATAAAAAAAAAAGTAGAAATGATTTGTTATCATTAGTCACAATTATCCTCATATCAATAAATAACTCTTACAATACTGATAATAAGAAGCATGAGTCATGTGAATAGATTGGATTTTAGTGTTATAATGAATAGATTCATATAAATGCTTATGTTTAAAGCACGTTTCCTACAAATAGTACTTCACATTATGTATTTTTAGAAATTATTTAAATTTTGTCAATAGTTGCCAGAAATTGATTTTAAATGTGCATACAAATAGACGGATAGAAACGCATATTTTTAAGCGCATATGATATCCTGTAGATAGGCCTAGTATTCCGCTTTTTTGTGTGTCGATTATTAATTGTCCCAATAAGATATTACATGCACAATATAGATAGCTATAACATGTTATTTTGCTTGACAAGACATGGTCTCCTTTTCAACTATTTTATTTGTTTGTCTTTTTTTTGCTCGTACCACAGCAATGTCTCTTAGTTTTTTTTTTCTCTCTCCCTTTTATTGGAAACGATTTCCTTCAAAATTTTGTGCATTCTCCAAACTAAACATAGTGCTATTTCACACTTTTTTTCGAAATAATGTTTGGTTAATAATCAAAATCACGCTCATTATATAACAATAGTCTGACCATGCTGTCAATCATGAAAGTGAATCATTTGAATAGAATTGACTTCAGTGTCATGATTATGATAAATTCAATCGATTCTCACTTTCAGTCATTTGAGTCATTCTAGAATTTTTCTTTGGAACTACACATTATTTTCTTGTGATCATAGCTATATTCTTCAATTCACTTTAGATAACAATGGTCAAAGTGAAATCGGGTATAATGTAAAGACAAACACATCTTTTAGAAAATATATATGTGAATATAGAAATGCGTATCATTTCGACAGGGCGGCGTGACCAGGGTCAGGTTTTGATACATCATCCCACAATTTGCGAAATCGAGACATGTGCCCTTCCTCCGACAGGAAGTGCCTCCTTCGAAGTGAACAAATGCCCCTCCCACGATAGGAAAATTTCCCTCCTAACATAATTTGCCCTTTTTTCTATCTATGTTTCCCTGGTTTATACCCGTTTGTAAAAATAATTAAAAAAATAAAAATAAAAACATACCCAATTCAGAAACAACAACAAATTCATTCATCTTGTGACATCATCTGTCAATCATTAGTGAGCTAACAAGAGACAGTGTGTAATTTCCCCAGCTCAGCACATGCTCACAAAGGAATTGCATTCTTGCATACAATGCCTCCACATTACCTTTCTTTTCCTGGTGATGCTACAGCACGTCTAAGATAGCGACTCCTATGTTGGTATTGTATGGTCTATTGTTAACAGGTGGTCAGCTCTGGTGAAGCTACATACCACTGAATGTCTCTTGTTAGCTCACTAATGATTGAAAGATGATGTTACAATATGAATGAGATCTGGAGCATTTTTTTAGGGTGGAGCTAAGCAGCTAGGTCTGAGAAAATTATTTGAAGAACACAAAATGAGTTGTATGCAGCCCTGCACATCAACAGGAATCGACTTATATTTGGATTTCATCCCACTTTTAATGATTTTAACCGTAGTCCACATGACCAAATATAAGGTAGCAACTATTGCCTAAGACTGTTCTTACAATTTTCTTGTCAAATACCGGTATACCTGATATCAATAATATGGCACAATGTCAATTCGCTTGCCTGTCCAGTGACAGATGTATGACATATCTAAAGCAATATGTATTCATGCAAGTGAATTTAGAAGAATTATTGAAATACTACCATTTTGATGTAATATCTTCCCACCGATACAATAGCTTAAGAACCTCTTTTAAAATACATCATGCCATGCATATTGAAATATTTTTTTGTTTATGATAATACCGGTACGTTGTTTCATTTGAAGTTGAACTAGACCTATATCAGAAATTGAGACAAGATAATCAGACTTAGTAAATGATAAAGTTACTGAGATGCAGATTCATCTGATATTAGCTGTGTTTTAAAAAGGTGTTTATGTTAGTAAAGACAATAATTGGATTCCATCGTGGATTTCACTTTGGTGTGAACTGATAAATTATCTTGGCACAGATCCAGACGCTGAGTATGAAGGTTGTTTCCATGATGACTCCACGGAGACTACACTCCATTCTCTCGCTACCACACCTCCAGTCATTCACCTTGACGATTATCGGACGAGTTGACATGGACGATGGAGAGACACTGGTTTGTATCTTTACTGTTCCAAGATTGAATTCAAAATCCTCTTTTTGCTCCAAGCTCAAAAGGAAGGCGTTCAGAAAAAAACCCTCAAAGAGACAAAATATGAATGATAAAGGATTTGCCAAAAGGATAATATATTTTGTTTTGAAATCAAGTTAAAAACGACATACTATGGGCTGTTTAGTAAATCGATGGATGGTTTTATTTATCAAATATATATACATGCACTGTTATAGTTTTTTCATCTTGGGATGAAGTTTAACATTGCACATATTTTTAAAGCTTGTTAAATATCAATTGATAAATGATTGCCATTTGTTATTTACCATGGAGAATCCTGTTGCTTATTTTCTTCATTATCAAATTTGTAAATTGAGTAATGTGAAGTCATTTGATTGTTTTTTTTTTTTTTAGTCTAGCTGAACTAATATCACAATTAAAAAAGATGATAATGAATAGTAAAATCCCGTCATCTTCCATAGAAAAAGAAGGACTAACCCTCTAATAATAATGTTGGTGGAAACAGACAAAATAAAGAAAAATGTTAACGAAGGTTTCAGAAAAAGCGGACAAAGAATAAAAACATTAAGAAATTTTGGATGTTGATAATGCTTATGATATACAAAAACTCATATTGTCAATGCGATCATGATGTGTTATGCCATACAGAGAGAAATCCTCTTTTTATATTTTGTATCCAAAATACTGAAAAAAAGTCTCATGATAAACAAACCTCTATTTAAATGGAGGGCAATACACGTTTAGGCCTAATGGAACATAATCTGCTGGATCATTAAAATGGAAAAACAGAGAGGTATTTTTAATATTTTGGAATAAGAAATTGGTTCTAGTTCATCCGGTACGGCATCGCATGTGACCGTAATGCCAATAGAAGATTATTAATATAATTTATGATCTCGGCATCCCAAAGTTCAAAACTTTTGTATTCTTTGTCCATTTTCCCCAAACCTACCCATTTGTTTATTTCTACTTTATAGGCAGCTTACATTGAAATGATGAAAACCCTTTAGGTTTTATTATTATATATTTGTGAAATATTTACCAAGCATGATATGAACAGTAAAAGTATTGTATTAATTATTAAAACAATAATGTTTCTGGATATTCTTACATCAGCATTGGTTTCCATTCATATCATATATAGTGAGACTTTTTGAATCGTTATTTCTTATAGACTCGTCAAACCTCCTCAGTAGATGAGCTTTCTGTGGATGGTAAGCATGTGATCAGCCTGTGGAATCTTGGACTTCATACATCATGTCCTCGAGTGAAAAAACTCAAACTGAACTACCAGAAAGAGGAGAATGTCTCATCAGAAATTGTCACAATAGCCTGCTTTCCATTCCATCATCTAACTCACCTTCGCGTCAAGGGATACTGGCCATTTGAATTAGTTGCACTAAATGATCCTGTGTCATTTTGTGATGCGGTTAAAACATCATGTCCTCAACTCACCAAGCTGTCCCTTACCCGTATTACACTGAAGAACGAGAAGGCAGCCGAGATCATCCAACTCATGAAGACTCATCCACACCTGACAAGCATAGAGTGAGTCTCATTTGATTTACCAGGGTAACGATTGCCACAGTATAATCAAAATCTTACTTCTATATATTGTGGAACGCATTTTGGTTTACCTTTGACTGTGAGTTTCTTCTCTTCATTTGCTACCTCTCTCTCTCTCTCTCTCTCTCTCGCCCCCCTCCCTCTCTCTATGTCCCTCTCATTTCATTATTATTCTTTCTCTTTTCTAAGTTCTCTTTTGATTCTTTTCTCCCACTCTCTTTCCTGCATTTCCTCTCTTCCACTCTCTTTATCATCGCCTCTTTCGCTATCATAGAGATGGTTTGCAGTTTTTTACTGCACGATACAAACCTGTAAGCATGTTTATGCCGTACACTTACCTACACAGTATTGATGCAGATGAGATACCTGATTAGGTTTGATCTCATAAGAGGAAAACTAGCATTGATTTAACCCAGTTGGTTCTTGATATCAAAAGGAAATTGAATTGGCAAAATACTGTATTGTCATTGTCACTGAATTTGATTTCATGCGGCGTCAGGGGTAGCTGCATTAAGGTTTCGAAATGAATCTCAGATGGTTAAGAAAGTGCATACATGAGTGAGTTGTCTAAAAGATTAGATGATGGGGGCTGCATGCATAGGGGATTTTACAATAGTTTACATAATCTGATGATCTCTTCATTTCAGGATTCTTTCATATCAATATAATTTTCTTATTATAAATGTAAATCAAAACTTTATCTTATTCATCATGATGTATCCTACATACACAATTTTGATACCATGGTTATTTGCAGTCATGCAATATAAATACAGAGCGATGCTATGCAAGGTTGGATGTGTAATTATTTTCATCTATTCTCACACCACATAGCATACATCTCTGATGGCTTTTTAAAGAGAGTATCGTACGTCAGGTTTGTTCAAAAGATCATGTATTGAGCCCCCAAAATAAACTGCTTTATTACTATAGGTTGGATGCGTGTGATACCAACGCGGGTCTGGATCCACTGATTTCTGAGGTGAACAGTGAAGCCAAGGTGACTGTCACCGTGAAACATAGTCAGGTAAGATATAACACTAGATTACATGGCCATCCTCTGATTGATTCTCATCCCTTTTCTGGCATTCCATTGATTCAAAGTAGGCTATTTGTTTAATTATTCATATCTAAATCCGCACAATCGGTACCCAAGAATAAACAATGCACATAATTTAAGCTGTCTTTTATGTGTTTATTCTGGTCTGATTAAAATGATCTAGTCTAGCAATAGGTTTGTTCTTGATCTGTGTATTGATATATGAAAACTGAAATATAACAGACATAGAGAAAAAGACTCTTCACAACAGACTATATGAACATTATTAGTGAAAAAGTACTTTCCTTCACATTCATGATGTATAAGGCAAAAACGCTCATTGTACTTTGTCCTCTTTTTTATTAAAGCGATATGACCTTAATTTCTGATGAAAAGATGGACATTTTCCCTTAAATGTTTTATATATAGGTCTAATTGCAGAAATGTCAAATTATCATGTAGCATGCATCTGAGCAAAACTAACTCCACTCAGCAAGTTGACAAAGGTAGATAGATAAAACATGCTTCTTACAATAATGCAATATTCATGAGTTCTATTTTTTTTCAGAACATGTTAAAGATGAATAATCAAACTGCCTGTATGATTCTCACTTCTGTAATTAAAAGCAACAACAAGTAACATTTCATGACAAAATGATGTGATTAAGATGGGTGATAGGTAGGGGGTGTAGGCCTATCTATGTCTCCTCTTCCTCTGCCTGCTACCTTGGTCATGATAGAGACATTATAAGGCCTAAAATAAAAAACTTGTTGTCACTATGAACTGGCCGGCCAAAATGACTTAAAATGATCTTGCCAAGGTCTTCAATTCCAGCGAAATTTTCTTGAAACAGTCTACATTTTGTCGCGGACAAACTGACTTATTCTTATCTTATGGCATTTTTTACAGAAGATAATTTTAAGAGTAATGTTCGACTGTTCGTACACTACATGGGCCTATGACGAAGGTCGTGTGTCTTATTTTAGTCTGACAGTTTTATTACGGTCATAATTCGAGGCAACACGACGAGAAACTATCTTAATTTTGACTCTCGGTGGAATGCAGTGGTTTAGAAGACCCGACCACTGACTAGATTATGTTTTCATACTCGTTGCACTATATATTGATTTTCCTTTCTCTCTTTCTAACGAATAGTTATACCAAAAACTCGAAATCATCAATATCAAATGTACTAAGTACTAATAAAAGATATTAATTAAGCTTGCTTCCATATTAAGGTTGTTTATAAATATTGTAGTGCATGCATCTATGTGATGTTTCTATTAAGGGTCTGGGCAAACAACTATGCCTCGAAACCACGAATTCCTTTTAATGGACAGACAAGGTCACGCGCTGGCTGAGAGGTGAATATTACCAAACTATGATTGTTTGTATGACTTTTGTAAAAGAAATTGCTAATCTTGCTTGAAATATGATTAAAATGGAAAATTTAAGGTGAAAACAAACTTTGAACGAAAGGAATCGACCAACGTCAAGTCAGTTTTCTGCATGGGGAAGATAGTCTCATGTCAAGACGTCGATTACTATGACCTAAGGAAAATGAGTACAACCTTACCAAACATTGTCATTTACTTGCGTTGTACAGAATAAAACAAGCCAACCACCTTACAGTAATTATACGATTGCATTCATTTCAAATGTTATAAAGTATTTTCAGTCACACGGTAATACCATAACGTTGGAATAATTTCGTTACACTGACCAAGGTTGAAGAAATTGAAGAAGAAAAAAAAGTTTGTAAAGATTATTGTGGTTTGATTGTCATTATGAGGAAATTGATCATCAAAGTGTTGAGAAAAACAGCGTACATGTATATCGCATGCTCATTATTTACAAACCGAAAATAATAAACGAGAAGCTCAAAAGAAAAGAAAATGTAATAAATGCATAAGGAAATATAGAAAAAGAAGATGAATCAAATGACAAGGCAATACAACAGAAAGAATAGAAAGAGAAAGAAAGAAATATATTAGGAAAGAGAGTAGATGAAAGAAGAGAAAACTCAGAAATACATCAGAAAAGACATATAGAGAAAGAACGGACGAAACAAAGAAATAATACAATTATGGAAAGAGAGGTAGAGAAATAAGAAAAACATTGAAAATATATAAGGAAAGAAAGAAACAGAAAAGCAAATATATACATATGGAGAAATAGAAGATGAAGGCAGTAAAAAGAAAGAAATCCATTAATGGTCACACAAAAAGTGAAATAACGGGAAAACATTTTGTGGAGTATTGTTTGCTGAAGTACGTCGCTAATGTGTATGTGTAAAATGTGATTATGCAGTGCGTGTGGTTGTAAATTTGAACTTTTCTATCCGTGTCTGACCATAGACGTACCACCAACGTTGGTGGTACGTCTATGGTCTGTGACTGACACATCTCGTTTCTTATCCCTCGGTTATTTTCCAGTAAATTTTCTGTCATTCCAAAAAAAATTACACCGGTATAGTTGTTAATTGATTGTGTATGTTTATTTTGGAGATCTAGATATAATAATTATATAGAATAGAATATATAATACCTGCCTTCTCGGCCCGATGATACATCTACTAAACTGACACTGAAATGAATACAAAGCAATAAGTTTGTTTACCACAATTGAAATGAACCTTCCTATATAATGTTTCAGATATTCCAAGAAAGAAGAACGATCGCACCGATACAATTTCGTTAAATATTTACTAAAAAATAGAATGGAAAAAATGGAAAATAAATCCAGTATTCAAGTTAAATAAAGACATGATTCCTCCTTTTCCCATCCCCCATACTTTGTATAAGTGGGAATGGTCTTATTAAATATGGTGCCAAAAATCCATCAAAGAACAACAAGTTACGTTGGTTAAATTTCCTTATAACGGTACTTTCAACAACAACAAAACAATTGAAGAAACAAATTAATCACTCAAAATAAAAACCTGGTTCTCCCATCTCCTATTTACTATTTTTGGCATTTTCGTAATACCAGTTATTCTAAGTTAAATCAAATTTGTTATTTTTTTATCAAATTCTGGAATAAAGGTACAGTTTGTGATTGAAATAAATTCAACAATATAAAGGGGAATTCACTTAACTTTTCATGTTATTACCAAAGAAGATAAAAAGCCAGTCAGTCACTCAATAGTGTCTGACAGTGAAGTCTAGCAAGTAAACGGATTTCCTTGCATAATTTGAATATGAGGACACTGCTAACATTTAAATTTCACAGATAGGACATACATGACATATTCATAATTCCTGCAAAGTTCCACAGCATTTGAGGTTGGCTGCAAAAGGGACATAGTACCTTTAAACTTGAAGCATTTCGGGAATACTAAATTAGAGTTGTGACTTATGATAATAGTCGATCGCCCTTCCAACTGCAATATATACGAATGAGTGAAAATGTAACCCTCGTGTGTTCCACAATTCACAGCATAAACATGTTTGTAATTCCATTATTGCAGACCATGCTCGAGAAATTTATTTTTGCAGTGATTGCCATGAAAAAGGCTCACCAAAGGATAATCTGATTATATTGCAAAATAGAATTGGCTAGACGGCCAGTTGGCAACCACTCAAAATATACTATTACAGTTAGAGTAACATAACGCAACAACGTCACTTCAAAGAGATAATAACACGAATGGTATTATTATGAGTACAGTGATCTGGTGAAAGAGACATATATCTAATGACATATACACAAATACATATTGTCTCCTAGTCTGGTTGATGCAGGGGTGTATATATACAAAACAGCATTGGCGATAAATACTTTGCTTGAGACTATCGCAATATATTCTGTGTCTATGGAAAGGGAGAACTTTTTTACCTGCACAGCTGATGACACTCGAGTGATGATGTACGTGGTTCATCTCATGTTTCTCAGCATCAATCCACCATTTAATATCATTTCAGGAATGGATACCAGGAATACTGTAGCACCAAATATGCATCCAACATAAAGGACTGATAAGCCAGTCATTGAAATCGGTAGTCATATTCCACATGATTATTTCCTTTTGGCAATATTATGGGCTAAATTAAAGCACAATGATGGGAAGATACGGCGCGCCAAGTCTGATAAAACCCCGCGAAACGTTTGAAACAGAGTCCTTCCGGTAACATGGGCAAGGGAATGAAACACGCCTTGAAATAACTAGTCTGTGAGGCACAGTCTCTGATCTGAAACTGTTAACAGATATACATGTACATTTATTATGTTTGGAACAAGCGTCTATTAAAGTGCCTGAGCAGCTACCTTATGCACACCTATGTCGTTTTCGATCATGAAAAATAAAAATACTATCACCAACAATGTTATCAATATCATACTTTTGTTTCCTTCTGATGAACTCTAGACTAATGGGAATAACATAGATTTCTGCCACAAAAGGGAAATGATTACCAAAGTTTAAAAATTATAAAATAAAAGATGTGATTTAGTAACTGAACCCGTGTCTGTCAGCCGAATTAACGGATTTGAATCAAATTGACCTATTACAAACAGTTATGTTGATTATCTATTTAATACGTGATTTAATTTGAGAAACATAAATCATAATTCTTACATAAACATTGCTTTCGCTGAAATACATGCAGAATTGCAAGTACATAATTAAAGGATTAAAATGATTTGGTAGAAATGTCTCAGAATGTCCTTATTAATTTTACTTCGAAACCGAATTTAAATTCGCATAATCGTACTCTGAACAAAGTCAACTCATGCTGTATTTTGTATTTTATGATTATATCACAGAACAAAATATAAACAAAGAAACAATTACTTCAGTATTGCCTCCAATATGCTCACAATTGATATTGAGTTGTTCAATGAATAATTTGCAGAGTGTGTGGGCATTTCCAAGCAGTGCACATACAATGTTCAGACGTTCAGACACTGTTGAGACACATGCCATGTCCATCGGGGGTCAAGGGTTTGACCCTTGCCACATTCCTGTTCTGACCACACTTTAGGAATGTGGCAGCTAGGGGTCAATTCCTTGCCTTCCAATGGACATGGCATATTATGTATCATAGGAGAAGTAGGTACACCGTACACTAATGTATAAACATGAACCTACTATGGTATGAGCGTGTATTCTCATTGCAAGGCTATAATCGCATCGCTTGATATGGGGCTAATATATAAAATGGAGAAGATGCTTACAATGTATATTCATTTCATTAGTATTATCAGCTACTGGAGATCTTAAAATGAAATCGTTGTTCAATTGTCAATTGACAGAAGGCCCCTGATGTTTCAAACATTGCACAACCAAACATCAACTCGGAGTCTTAGAAAAGACACCTCTAAAGTGCTAATTCAACACCGGCATGGAAATTGGAATTCAACTGGCTTCCATTTACTGCATTGTTTTCACACCAAAAATGAGTGTTGAAGACTAGCACGAACAAGGAAATTATAGAAAGTGATGGAATTTGGAATAAAATCATTGTAATTCTGTATCGCTGTTGTTCAAACATCTGTCCAGTGTCGTTTATAATTATAGATACCGAGGTAGTTACCCTGCTGTATATATATTTTTGCAAAAACAAAGCAGAGAATCATCAATTACAACACAATTGTCTCCTGGCACAAGTGGTGTAGGTAATTAAGAGCATGGGTGGCCAGGCCTCCACGTCCAGTGATAACAACAACAATGAAAAGATAGACATGAAAGAGAGAGAAAACGCAATAAACAAAATACATTTTCTGAAAAGAGAGATAAAGAGAGATAACAATTAACATTTTACCATCTT